GTTGAAATTTTGTATATAGGACTGCTATAACATGTAGATGTGCACCTCGTATTTTGGTTGCAATCGGCCGCACCAAACGTATATAAATTTTATATATATATATATATCCAACTCTGTTACCCTCTCAGTGATCTCAGTTTCTTTACTCTTATATGTTTGTAAATTGTACATTTTTTGCTTTAAAAATTATAATATTATGTTGTTTTATCTTCCGGTTAAGGATTTTATGCCTTTAGTAAATCTGTATGCAATATTTTTAGAATTATCAACAATTTTAAAGTTGTTTCAAGTGCCGCTAAGCCTAATTTTTTTAATGGCGGCCATTGATGTTTACATTTGAAACAGGAGAGACTAGTGGATTTGGGTTGCCAATCTAGAGAAAACTTAGCTTCGCAACAACAAAGATAACGCCATTCATTTATTATTACCAATTAAATCATGCTTAATTTTTTCTGGAATTTTTTCGAGGAAATAAGTTTTTAAGATTTACTTCGTAATTTTTAATATAGATATTTTGAGGTTTTTATGTATTTTTTGCCTTCTCGCGAAGTGAGAACTGAATTAATTGAATGAGAAATACTCAATCGTCTGTGAAAAACTGTTTTTTTTTTTTTTTTTTTTTTTTTTTTTTTTTGTTTGCTTAATTTCTTTTATTAATCGTTCTAGCTTTATTATAGTATTTGAATAGAACATGTGGCAACGATTAGATAATTCTATTCTTTAAATGATATAAATTTTGTACATTCTGAGTTATAATATGAACGAAATATATAAGTTAACCTTATATAATTATTGGATTAATAACAGTTAACTTAGTTCCGTTATATAATTATTATATAAGTTAACTGTTATATAATTATTAATATTGTTAGTGAATTTAGCGCCAGAGTGTCGCTATGGTAAACAAATACTTGAGTGAATTTTAAAGAATGCATTTATTCTATTGTGGTTTATGCGCTGTCGGCGAAGTAGATTTAATTCAATCCAATATGTTTAAATGAAATGCAAGAAAAATTGCGTATAATTTAATATTGCAATACAAGAAAGTCATTTGGTGTACACATCAGATTTTTTTAGATATGTAGTTACAACCCATATCTAAAATTATGAAGCAGCGGTTAAGCTACAGTTTGCCAGCAGGAAGGCGAATTGGTGAAAGACGATAGGTAGTTGGTTGCGGTACTTATATAAGCTTGGAAAAAATTTTGTTTTAGTTCTGTACAGCGATTGCGCAAATGTTTACAACAATGCGGATTCTGCGGAGAAAACGCAGACGCCTTGAAAGGGTTGTACTTTGGTTAAAAATGAGTAATTTAAAAGTCTATTATCGATTTGTTCTAACTGGTAATAAATTTTTCTTCATATATATACAGAAAGAGAGAATAAAGTGAAGCAACATTTTTTTCAAACCCATGGCGGGCCTTCAGTGGATTTCGGCTTGGCCACTACTAAGGCCAAAAGTGGTGGTCACTTTTTTGTGGAGGCACCTAATATGTGGGCCACCTTTGCCTCCTATGAAGGGACGAACAGTGACAACCATGCCTTCTCCGGAATTCGGACCACAGGGGCTTCGGTATCGTATCGGGTCCCTTAACTACAGAGCCAGATTTAGACACTTTTTGATAAGGCCCTAAGCTATTTGAGATGTGGGAGTTTATAAGTCTGTTATATTTTAATACTATTTATACTACATTTTAATTTTTTGGAGGGGGGCTAAGCTTGTGTAGCTTATACGTAAATCCGGCCCTGCCTAACTATAGACCGTCTGGGCGACAATTGAAGCAACCTAGAGAAATATATTCGTTTTAAGAGGACTCATACACCTTAAACCCCTCATGATCTTCGAATAGGTGACTGTTGCAAGAATTGAGTTATTTTATTTATTTTAAAAGCAATTACTTCCAACTTTTTACAGCTGACTACATGATATAGCTGCTTTGGAAACTAGTAACCAGAAAGTTTGTGTTTGCCACAAATATTTTTGTAATTTAATCCTCTTTGTGACAAAAATATTTCGCCGTGTTTCCACCCTGCGCGCATATTTTAAAAATGGCTAATGGTACATACTTGAAATTTGGATACAATTATTTGTATGGGCTGTATTTTCTACCTGAATCAAAAATCTGATGAACATTTTATTATTAAAAAAGTTTATGCACTAAAACATTACATATTTTTTAATAAAATACATTTTTATAAACTCAACTCCTAACATAAAATAAAAATTAAAAATGAAATTCTTAGAATTTTTGGTTCACAGTAGTTTTGTCCAAATGTTATAAAAGTTCTACATTAAATATGGAATTAAATTATGAAACTAGATAATGTTTTAAAAACTGTGCGCGCAAATGTGGAAATATGACGAAATATTTTGTCACAAAGCGGATTAAATTATAAAAATATTTGTGGCAACACAACTTTCTGATTACTATTTCAGATAGCAACTATATTATGTAGTCAGCTGTAAAACGTTGGTAGTAATTGCTTTTAAAATAAATAAGTTATCCCAATGCTTGCAACAGTCACCTATTCGAACATCTTATGGGTTTTAAGGTGTATGAGTCCCCTTACATTAAAATATTTTAACTAAAAACTTTCATCCAGCTATAAAGAAGCTTAAAATTAAGTCTTCTTCTTCTATTTTGTTCTTAATCGTTGTTTTTCTTCCAGACGTTTGTTGATTATTTCACAATGAATGGTACTTTTATTAATGCTGTTTGTATCTTTTTATTTTTAAGACAAAATTCACAATCTGCCGTTATTTTTCAGTTTACAGTGTATATAGTTAGTTTCGCAACTTTTTTTTACAAGCCATTTAATATTTTCCTTAAGGAATACCGTTAATTTTACGTCTTGCAATTTTTTTGCTGTCATGTTTTATTATCTGGTTAGCATGTCTGTGATTAATTCTCTTGTCGGCTTCCAGCAACATTGCTGTTCACAACTTTTCAGCTATTCTAACTCATTAACTTAATTTTCATCTCAGATTTTGATCATTAAAGAAACTATGTATAGGGCAACAGAGTAATGTTATTGTGACCTTTCGATGCTTTTGGGGTTACTGCCCAATGACGATCCCCCCCCAAAAAAAAACAAATGCTACCCTTGTAAGGATCTTAAGTTTTACTAACGTTTATTTCACTTCTTATTTTCTACTTCCGGCCAGAATTAAAAGCTTTAACTTATTTATGCAAATTTGTCTGGCGAACGCCAAGTACTTAAGTTGTGGCTTTTTGCCAAGCAGAGAGAGGAAGGAGTTGGTAGAAGCAGGCCGCGGCCTTAGCAGTTTTACTCAGTTTGCTGGTTGCCTTCCAGGCCAGAGGTTTAATCCTCTTGATAATTTTAAACGTATGTAGTGTTAACAGTTCTCTGTACTACATACGGCTTCCTGTTAATATACGGCCAATCTTCCCCGTAGGCCCTTGTTTATTATTCCAAAGTTAAGTTAGAGTTTAGTTAATATTTTTATATTCTTACGTTTAGACCACAAGTGGTTGGTCTTCTGTATTCCGAAGTACGGAAATTATTGTAAAGAGAGAAAAATAAAGGGTTTGTATACCCTTCTTGTGTATCTTGTCTACTTCCCACATTTATTGAACATAGCTTTAGTAAGCTCCCTGTTCCGAGTCAGGTCTTTGCATGTTCCCAAAGCAAGTAAGGCGGAACACTGAACCTGATACCCTTATATGATAATAGTCTCATACAGCAGCCTGTTGAAACCTTTTCAGGGTATATTAATGACTATCTTTCTTTTATAGTCAATTTTGTTTATTAGGCCAAACGGGCTTTGTCTCTGAGGGACTATTGTTTTCGTTTTGCGTCGAATCACTCTGAATGTCTGTTTCACTTTTCAAATTGTTGCCACCAAATATTATTGCCCTGTATTATATTTGACGAAATTAAATAATGAAGAATCTGCATAAATATATGTCTGTTTCTCGCGTTGTGATAAAATAACGGTACCTAGAGGCATCCAATCTTGAATGACGTAATCCTACTGCGAATATGGGCATCTGTAAAGCCCAAATTTGAAATTTATTTTATTATCGACTTTATAATTTGTAAAACTTTAACGAATATTTGATTAAACTCAAGGATTTAAAAGCGAACAATGGCAACGTTGTACAGAAAAAACATTTTTTTATCTCCAGCGCATGAGGGTGTGTATCGGAAGTTTTACAGATATGGTCAATTTAAAATTATTTTACGATATTGCTCTTGAACTGAATTTTATGGTTTAAGTTCCAAGAACATGACATTTACATAAAATGTTAAGGGGTGTTGGAACCCCAAAATCTTCAAAAAATTGTGATTTCTGATTTTTGCATTTTCAGATTCTGTACGCTTTTATCTTTCTCAAAATACCATTCTTTAATCTCTATGAAAATTAGAACTGTAAAAAAATCTAGTTTTAATATGTCATCGACTACTTTGATCAATGAGGATTTTTACATAAAAACGCGGTTTTCTCCAAACGTGATTTTTTTATACTCGATGTACCTTTTCTCAGGAACTACTGCTTACAGGTATCTAAAATTTTTATGGCTTATTTATTAGGTTTCCTAATATTTACTGAAATGAGCTGTTTGTGATAAACTTAGAATAAAAAATTTTAAAAAGTTTTTTGTGTGAGAAAAGTGCTAAATTTTACTATGCCTAACCAAATATTCTGTAAATTACTCTAAAATTCAAAATGTTTTAAAAGCTCATTTCAGAATAATCAGATAGGTATACTTTAATTATACAAAAAATTTCAAGCGTGTATCTACAGCAGATTTTGAGAAAAGGTACATCGAAAATGGCCAATTTAACATTGCCGCTATAGGGGTTTCTGATACCCCTTAAAAAAACACCCCTTTGGACGTAATTTAAAATCTGGAACTTTTCAGATTTTTAATTCAAAGGGACTTGTTCCTGAGGGACTATTGTTTAAAATTTGTTTATTAGTTATATAAAATATATATGAATGTTGAAAGCGACAGCAACAACAACACTCGATATACTTGGCACTGCATGTATTTTTTATTATAACAATTTTTACAAGCTTTGTATACACACATGATTTACAGAAAACATTTCGTAAACATGATGATTTGTAGCAGTAAACTATCTTCCGTACAGTTCAACATTTTGATCCATCAACATAGGCACTTGCTGTTATATCAAACATAGGTAATTAACTTTTGTATTCATCACAAAATATCACACGAAATGAAACCCATCAACTCAAAGTCAATATATATTAATACCAAAATAATTTTTAAAAAGTTTTGAATTTATTATAAATAATAATCTACGTATTAAAAAACACAAAAATAAAATTCTTAATAAATTATATTACAATCTTTTTTTCTTAAATATCTTTCAACATTTTAAATCATGCCTCCTCACATAAGCAAACACACTCAAACAAAACCAATCTAATATATTTATATCCACAAGAATATCTTCCCAGAACATTTACGTTCATGTTATAATAGAATTTGGAGCCTACCAGAGGCACAGAGATCAAGACACTTAAATACAATTTTAATTTTATTCAGCTTTGAACGCCAGTCTACCAGTGGCCACTGAACACAGGTTCAAATGCTAGATGTTTTCATGACTTATTCTAATGTTAATAAAAATTTGTTTTTCTTTAAACCTCTTCTACAGGAATAGCATTCCCTTAAGGCAGACAAATTCAATCTAGTTCTATGAGTTTCCTCAGGAAGGTATTTGTGTTTTTTCATACTCAAATAAAGAATAATTAACAACTTGTAAAAACTTAAGACTATTTCACATTTAACACAAAATAAATGCGGCATAATTACTTTTAACCACTTCAGTACAATTTTTACATTTAAATGCACGCATCTTTTATGCTTTCCTTCCAATTCATTTTGACAAACGTTACAAAATATAATTAAAATCTAAACAAATATTGAAATGAACCTTAATTTAAGTTAAACTTTCATATAATTTAATTTTTTTTATCTCAAGAAATATTAATTGATAGTCTTACACACTCTAGAACAGTCACATATTTGATTTATTACGAGCATCTCTCTTCAGTTAGTCAAATATAAATTCTTGACAGGACATAGTTAATTCTCTCATTTAAAGCTGAATTTATAATTTATTAAAGCAAGAAATTGTAAATCTAGATAAACATATGTTTTGCTTACAATTTTGGCAATGAAGTATTTAATCCATCTACACATGAACAATAATTAAATTGCAAAAATTTAATTATAAGATGAAAAGTAAATTATGTTATAAATGGAATACTCAATTTTAAAATGCAGGAATGCAATGATATAAAATGTAACTATTAAAACTGACACTAACTGCCTATTTTGTCATAAGGCACAATATTTTCTCTGTGACGTCATTCATAACTCTCGATTCTAATTTAGAACGTGTACCACTTACATTCAAATTTTTACATGAAATACCAAACACACTAGAATTTGAAATTAAAATATACAATATTAAAGATCAATGGGTTTCAAATTATCCTATTCCATTATACAGTTTATATCACATACCCTTCTTCAATGACCAGGGTGCTACATACGTACAAATATTTTTCTTTTATACAGAGAAAAAAAATGAACTGAATCTTCATCAGCAACAGTTTCTTTTTACATAATATCATATACACACACTTTCAAATATTTACAAAAGAACCATTTTGGCTGTTGGATTTTGCTCGGTATACCAGCATAACAATTTTTTTCCAATACTTTATGCCCATACTTGAAAATAATCAGTTCTCTAAGCCACTAACTCACGTGCAACCATTCCTAGCTGGACTGGTAGGACTTGGATAGAACATAGGCCTCTCTGCATAGATGTACCGATCCTGGAATTTTTCCATAAGGAACGAAGACTGTGGCCTGTACTGTAGCATGGCAGTTCCATTCATTTTTTCGACTTTCAAGGAATGGCTGCTCAGATTGACGCAAATGCTGATGGGATGCAATACAGGTGCTAGATCGTCCACGCCTACCATGTAAGGAACAAGCAATGATGAATCAATAGTCAGAGGAATGTAAAATGTACCTTTGGGATGAAGGGCGAAGATAGGTACTCCCGGCTGCATGGGGCTGGGTGTCCGATTTGACATTCGGTCAGGAGTGCGTGAATAAGGAGAAAGCGCTGGAGAATGTGTCCCATTATGAGGTTTGAGCTTGGTGGGACCAGAATTATTTTCACCGTTTGTGCTGTATCCTGAGCTACTACCATTAGAACGTGCAGCATTCGGTGGTGGGCTCGGATTAGAGCCGCAGCTACTTGCTGTTTCAACATGAGAGTCCCAGTGCTGATTCCCATAGGACAACGCACCATTTTCAATTGGGGCAGTCCTGTCGGGAATTTTAACGGAGAGTTCAGAAGCTACATGATTAGGAGTGTAGGGTGAGAAAGCATGTCCTGGATGGGAACCGGGATTGCACAGAAGTGTAGGAGGGTGACCCAGACGATCGTCTGAAATAGGCCCTGGATGACAGGGACGCAATGGAGAACTGTCAGAGAGGTGAATTTTGTTGTTATTGTTGTCTTCGTCCGGCAAAGACATCCTGTCCGAAAGATGACTGTCTGTGGGAGAGGATGTATGATGTCTCAAGTCGGCATTGAACCTGTGTTTTATGTTGTTTTTGAATTTATAGTAGCCTTCTTCATTCTTAGGCATGTCATTCTGGTTGGAAACCAACACAGGAACCGGCTGTGGAAGAGGAGAAGGTGCAGAACCAACATTGTTGTTGCTATTCCTACTGCTGCACCGTGATGGATCTTTAGGCACTCCTGGATTCTGCAGCATCTCGCGGAGTTGACTGCTCACTTTCATCTCATTGTGCGTTGCATGATTGTGTCCATTTACTTCAACCTCTTGCTTCAGTTCAGGTACTTCAGAACTCCTGTTTTCATAGGGAAAGTTATTTACATGGGTGTTATCTGGAAGCATTCCTCCATTGGAACAATTTTCTGGTGGAAAACAAGAACTTGAATGGTTGTCGACTTCCATTTGCACTGTTGCTTTTGACTCCTCTGATATCATCATACCCAGTGCTTGTGTATAACAAAGACCTGCACAAGAAAAAGAAATATGTTATTATAAATATATATGAGTTATATCTATATGTAAGAACAGAATGCTATCTTAAACCAATTTTTATACTTAACGCTCTGTTGTCTTATAATAATTTACTTACGTATTTTAGTGTATAATGGTTATATATACATTAAATTACACTTAAAATTACCCATTAAAGAACGGCATTTTTGGAAATGCTTAACTACATAATGGCTGTAGATGGTTTGCAACTAAGTATAGAAGAGATTTAAAACTAATTTTGATGATTACACACAAAGGTAAACATGAGTGGAAAATGTAGTAAGTACAACAGGCAAAAGGGGGATAAATATTAAAAATAAATATTTTTATTGCTGTTTTGTATGACATGAATGGCACTCAAAGATAACTATTTAAGGAAAATGAACATTTATACGAAAAACAGCAAAGCAACATTAATAAAAACTTCAGAGAAAATTTGAAATATTTTGGTTAGCTTGCTCTCCGAGAAGCGTACTTTACTTTCAGCAATTAACTTCAAATTTATGATGATTATAAAACCGCATTAAATAAATATCGGGGGACCTAACATAAACCAAGTGAAATCTCTCCCAAGTCCGTTTCGGTTTATCTTGGGACACCCAATATAATACAAACTAACAATTCATGTGTTCTTGACTTGCTCTGAGTTCATTTTACCTTGAGCCGCATTGTATAGTACTTATTAACGAAATAGAATTTAACACGGTAAAGGACTTTAAAGTAAGTGCTCAGAAAACATTCTTCTAAAAAATTATCAGATTAACTTAATAAAGGACAATGCATATAGGCCATAATGCAACAGCTTATACCCTGCCACAAGTATAATTAACAATTTATTTACTATGCAAGAATTCAAACAATCTTACCTCCTGCGACTTTATCGTAGTGCTTCTGCAAGTGGTTTATGAGTCTCATACACACATCATCACCAGAAAAAAGACCTTCTGATTCTACCATAAATCGAACAGTCTCGGACATACACTCCTGATAGCCAAGTCTGTACTGACGTTTGTGGTCTTGTTCTGTTGCTTTGGCAACTTCACAACTTCCTATAAAATGAGCAAAAAAATGCAATTAATATTAAAGCACCACCATACATTGCAAGTAATAGTGAAACATTTGTTCTAGAGGTATTCGAAAAACAATGGAGTGTTCATCAATAGATAACTCAAAAGACATATCAGATTAATTAAGTAATAACACAGAAATTTTCAATCATACAAAAATATTCCGAAAGGGAAGTAACAACAGGGCAGGAAAATCCATAGCCATCGGTAACAACGAATTTATCCATTGCATAATTAGAATGTTTACAACATCTCCACGTCAAAGCCCAATATCCGGACGAAAACAAAAACCAACAAATTTAAAACCTTAGTACAGGGGTCCCCAACTTTTTTGTCCCTAAAAGCACATTCTAGAATATCTGTTAGACGGCGGACACCATTTACGTTTTCGAAGGGAATTTATAGTTGGATGGAGTTAATAATACATGCACATTAAAAAAATCTGATGTGTACACCACATGACTTTCTCGTACGGAATATTAAATTATAAGCATTTTTCCTTGCATTTCGTTTAAACTTATTGGATTGAATTAAATCTACTTCGCCGAGAGTGCATAAACCACAATAGAATAAATGCAATCTTTCAAATTCATTCTATTTGTTTACCATAGCGACACTCTGGCGCTAGGTTCATTTAACAGTATTATATTTCGTTCATATTATAACTCAGAATGCACAAAATTTATATCATTTAAAGAATTATCTAATCGTTGCCACATGTTCTATTCAAATACTGTAATAAAGCTATTATAACTCAGAATGCACAAAATTTATATCATTTAAAGAATTATCTAATCGTTGCCACATGTTCTATTCAAATACTAAAATAAAGCTAGAATAATGTATAAAAGAAATTAAGCAAACAAAAAAGAAACAGTTTTACACAGACGATTGAGTATTTCTCATTCAATTAATTCAGTTCTCACTTCGCGACAAGGCAAAAATACATAAAACCTCAAAATATCTGTATTAAAAATTACGAAGTAAACCTTAAACACTTATTTCCTCGAAAAAATTCCAGAAAGGATTAAGTATGATTTAATTTGCAATAATAAATGAAGGCGTTATCTTTGTTGTTGCGAAGATACGTTTCTCTGGATTGGCAACAAATCCACTGTTCTGCCGTTTCAAATGTAAACAAGCAATGGCCGCCATCAAAAACATTATTAGGCTTAGCGGCACTTAAACAACTTTAAAAAATTGTTAATTCAAAAATTAATGATAATTCTTTGTACTATGAAACAAAAACACGACAGTCTGAAAATTACGTTAGAAAATATATTTACGAAATCGATTTAACAATAGAAACAGGTGGTTAATTAGTATAAATTAATATAAAGACCTTTTCACACAAAACGTTACGAAAATAAATAAATGAGTAAATAAATTAATTAAAACTCACCAGGATCTTTGCAGGGATGAGCTTGCAAATGTTTCAAATGTTTTATAGCCATTTCTATGATTTCTGTTTTCTCGATCCTTCCACGACCCTAAAGAGAAACATTAAAGAGATTTATATTAGCAATTCAATGCATGGTTAATGTCATGATGGAATCCAAAAAAAATTTACGAAAAATAAAAATACCTTTTTTAAATAATTTGTAGGCACAAGGCGGCTGAGGTCAGCGAGACAGTTATTCATCCTGTCTCGGCGCCTCTTCTCAATTATCCTGTGGGACATTGGATCCTGAAAAACAAAAATGCACTTATTAATTAAAAGTTCAATGAATAAAGACTGAAAATTATAGACTAAAAATATTTACAAATTATGCAGTCGCGTTTAAAGAACAAATATTTACATTATAATTTCTAATAAAGTCTTAATTAACCAATAATTATATACTAATTAAATACGATCGTTTAATCCATAGTCATATTTGCATGTTTTGTTTAACAATGACTGTTAACAAACAAGTTTTACAGTTGAATATCATTAATACGAAAAAACAACAATCCCAATTACTATAATGTTATTAAAACTTTAAAAAAAAATCTGACGCGGACACCACATGACTTCCTTGTACGGCAGCCTATTAAATTATACACATTTTTGTCACAATTCACTTAAACGCATTTTCTCAAATTCTATGTTAGATATATTTCTCACATCGAGCAAGGCGAAATTACATAAGAAAATCAAAACGTCATCATTAAAAAATGTAAAATACAGAAAAACCTTAAAATACAGTTTAAATAGTTTAAAAAAGTTTACAATTAAAATTCGGCAAAAATGAGCAATTCGGCCAACGGGCAAGAAGAAACATTTTTGGTGCACAAAACTGAAAGTTAACTTCTAGTTAACTTTCCATCATGATGATGACCATCACTTCTGGCCTTAGTAGCGGCGAAAGTCTAAAAATGGCTAGTGCCTGCCATTAAAAAAATTTTAATTACAAAATTATACGAAAGGTTAATGAGAAGAATGTAAAAATTAACGTAAATAAAATACCATTTAACAGCTATGAGTTCAATTCTGTATCAGTTAAGATAAAACGTAACTCTTAAAAATATATCAATGTTGAAATTCTTCCCACTGTTCAAACAGAACAAATGAATCAATCCAAAATGAAAATTCAAATGATAATCAATATTACTTAACCACAGACATACGGGGTTTTAGACATTGCGCAGAGTTGTGAAACACGAAGCTGCCATTTTTAACTTTGCCCCATTATAGATATGAAAAGCCAGAAGAGATATTCTTCGTGAAACTAAATTCATATGTCTGAAATTAAATCACAATTAAATACGATAACCTGGGTATTAGAAAATTCATCAACTAGTGTAACTACTGATACTTTTATTATTCATAAATTCTTTAAAATCGCAATTTGTAAAGAATATTTCTACAGATAGAATATATACTTTTTTACGGCAGGCACTACCCATTTTAGACTTAGGCCATTTTAGCCCAAAAGCGGCGGTCATTATGGAGGCACTGAGTAGGCGGCCACCATTACATCCTATGAAGGGACAGTACAGTATGGAGAAGGGACAGTACAGTATGGAGAAGGGACAGACATTATCTCCCCCGGTTAACCCAGGGGGATAAAACTGCACACAGTCAAGGGTTATGAAGCGCAAGTCAAGGGAGCCAGCAAGCAGCCACCAACATAACAGAACGAAGATCAGTGTCAAAGACTTGTCCCATAGTGTTGACCATGAAGGTAAGAAATTTTACCTCAATGGTATTGACCAAGGAAAGCCAAATTCCCAAGGCTCCCAAACGACTTTCGAAATCTAACCATGTAGCGTCCCCACAGCCAACAGGCAGACAAAACAGGACCAGGACGGTCCTTGCCGAGCTTGAACCTACCACCGAATAAACGATGGTTCAAGTCCTGTGAAGACTTAATTATATATCCCCGTGGTCTAGAATGCCTAGTACAGATCCTACCCCAAACGAATTTCGAAATCTAACCATGTAGCGTCCCCACAGCCAACAGGCAGACAAAACAGTACCAGGACGGTCCTTGCCGAGCTTGAACCTACCACCGAATAAACGATGGTTCAAGTCCTGTGAAGACTAATTATATATCCCCGTGGTCAAGAATGCCTAGTACAGATCCTACCCGAAACGACTTTCGACTCTCAAACGACTTTCGAAATCTAACCATGTAGCGTCCCCACAGCCAACAGGCAGACAAAACAGTACCAGGACGGTCCTCGCCGAGCTTGAACCTACCACTGAATAAACGATGGTTCAAGTCCTGTGAAGACTAATTATATATCCCCGTGGTGGAGAGTACCTAAATACAGATCCTAGCCAGTAGCTTCACAGGTTTTACCTGCGTTGACGCCCGAAGGATGTATGTGAAGGGACAACGCTGATGAAACGGGACAGCTTCGGACCTAATGCGGCTTAATAGGCGCCAAAAGGAATTAAGTGCCGCCCCGCCACTTGATCAATCAACCATGTTGCGACCCCACACAGCAAGGGCAGACAAGGCAGTACCAGTACGGTCCCTGCCGAGCCTTACTCTATCCCGAGAGTCCTCAGGCCTTCTGTGAAGTCTGTTATGATGCCCCCGTGGTTGAGACTGCCTAGGTACACATTCTAACCAATACTTCCCAGGCGTTTGCCTGATTAAGCCCCCCGGAGGGATGTGAAGGGACAGACAATTCACATCCATGTCTTTTGCGGAATTCGAAACCAGGCCCTTCGGAATGGTAGTCAGAGTCGCTAACCACTTTCCTGTTTGGGTGGCTGAATAAAGAATATGAATATTCAAATATTTTCTGCAATAGTGAAATTAAGCTAAGCTAAGCACTAATTAAGTAGACACTTTATTAATCTGCACGCTTCAAAATTCAGCATTTATAGTATAGAACTGTCCAGTTATCAGAAAGACGAAAGATGAGGTTATTATTATCATTATTGTTAAATACACAAATGCATGTTTTAAAAAGTTCTTTTCGTGATTTTTTTTTAATTTTTCGAAAACGGTTTACATCTTTTTATTTATTAATTAATTTATTAACTGCATTTTCAAAGCTGTGTAAAATAAAGAAAGAAAATCATAGACATTCATACACAAGAATCTTATCTATTTATGTTGTTTAGAAAATAAACTATCATAATACGTGTGTAAAGCTTCATGTCGAAGTTACATGATGAAGACAAAAATTAGCGATAACAGAACTAACATGCAGTGATAAGCTAGTATAAATTATCAAATTCCCTTTCTTATTTTCATAACAAAATTTAATATAATACATTATCAAAATTCTAAATAATTTTTATTTGTTTTTTTGTTTTATTTACATGAAAACATAATTTATTATGTACGAAATACTTTTTTTTAAAAAAGGTACTTATCAGGCGAAACTTTCACATTTTTGTAACACTTTCTATTCATAAGATAATAAATAATACGATATTTTAAAAGACTTCTTTACCAAGCATATAAAAATAAAATATTCTTTTTCTTTTCGTCAAAAACCAGTACTTTCATAAATAGATTTACTATCTTACTATCTCTAAAATATTTATTTTTTCTACTGCTGCCCAACTACATATGAAATAATCCCACACACAATTCTTCACAAGCATCTTTACATATTCAGCTAACCAGATTCCCAACTTTATTGCTATACGCTACCTTTTGATGCCAATTCGTAGCCAACATACTATTTTGATATATAAAACTGAAACCTATCATCGTTTCACTAGCTCGAAGTCATCATCTTATTCAGCCAACTCAAAACTTACTTCAGATGTTTCGTTTCAATTCTCTGATTTTTGTACATTTTTAGCTAATAATAAAACTTTAATTTTTGGTTAATTTCAGTTTTGTTGCAAATATTAAAATATAATTTTGCTACTAGTTATCAAATAACAACAATCACATTTCATCGTTTCAGCATTAATTTGCAATTTCACACACGAATTTAACCCGTTTAGGGATATTCAGGCCGCCTGAACCGAAATACGTACGCAGAAATGGTTTCAGATAAATTTAACACGTGAAATGTAAACAGATAACAGAAAAAACAGCGGCGATCAGAGCGAGGGGGTTTGACTGACGATGCGATGACGCAATTATCTGATAACTTGGTTTCAGAGATGGCTTTTAACAGCTGAAGGCAATCGTTCGGAGGAACTTCGACCAGCCGATCACGTTCTGTCCTCACTTTACTTTTTTATCTGTTTCGAAACAGCCGCTGGTTCAAGCGAACTGAGTAGAAAACAAAAACAGTGTCGCAAAGTGAAACTTCGGAACCTCCAGATTTCTTTATTTCATTTTTTGGCGACGTTATCTTCGTTGTTAAGGCGACGGATTAAAGATTCCGGGATGTCATGCTTCAAAAGACATTCATTCATTTCCACCTGAGTTTGCACTATGAGATTGCGGAGATAAAGACAAAATGTAAACTTTGGCAAAATGTATAAAGAATAAATTTCGGTTTAAATATATTTTTGGATAAAATGCAAGAAGAATAAATCTCGGTTTACGTGTAATTTTGGACAAAATGAATAAAGAATAAATTTTGGTTTAAGTGTAGTCTTGGGTAAAATGAAAAAAGAATAAATTTTGGTTTAAGCGTAATCTTGGATAAAATGTATAAAGAATAAATTTCGGTTCAAATGTAATCTTTGATAAAATGTATAAAGAATAAATTTCAGTTAAAGTGTAATCTTGGACAAAATGTATAAAGAATAAATTTCGGTTTAAGTATAATCTTTGTAAAAATGTATAAAGAATAAATTTCGGTTTAAGTGTAATCTTGGATAAAATGTAATAAATTTCGGTTCAAATATAATCTTTGATTAAATGTATAAAGAATAAATTTCGGTTAAAGTGTAATCATGGATAAAATGCAATAAATTTCAGTTCAAATATAATCTTTGATTAAATGTATAAAGAATAAATTTCGGTTAAAGTGCAATCTTGGACAAAATGTATAAAGAATAAATTTCGGTTTAAGTGTAATCTTTGATAAAATGTATAAAAAGTAATTTTCGGTTTAAGCGTAATCTTGGATAAAATGCAATAAATTTCGGTTCAAATATAATCTTTGATTAAATGTATAAAGAATAAATTTCGGTTAAAGTGCAATCTTGGATAAAATGTATAAAGAATAAATTTCGGTTTAAGTATAATCTTTTATTAAATGTATAAAAAATAAATTTCGGTTCAAATATAATCTTTGATAAAATGTAAAAAGAAAAAGTTTGGTTTTCAC